TACATAATAATTTAAAATATTCAATACGACAACAAAAATGTTATATGAAATAATAAACAAAAATCAAAGAAATAAACGAAATGTAAATAACTAAACAATCATACGACGATCTTCACTAGTTCTTGAATGAAGTCTAGGTGGTTAACTATTCACAACTTTTTTGTTGATTGGGATCTAGATTTTGGTTCTCTTGATCTGAAATAGTTAATGAAGTGGTGAGTTACATTAATACTAGATAGAGATAAGTCTCTCTAAAATCTCGAAGAGCCAATCGACATCCTCTCGAAGCGACCCATCTCAGACTGCCTTGTTAAGTAAGGGACCTCATCTCCTCGTGTCTTTGTACTTATTTTTACAAAGAATGATTGAGTGATAGTTCGTATTTGGTGTTTTAGGTCTTTATGTAAGAAATAGTTCTGAGGAATGCGATTCTGATACCAACTATAAAATTTCAGAAATTTAAATGGAAATAAAGTCATAAATTAAATGCGGAAGCAAAATAATAGAGTTAGGATTTACATTCCTTATACAATAATTTAGAATGCCCAATAGGGTTATGGAAATATCCCTTATGAAAAAACAAACAAAAATTAAAGAAATAAACGAAAGACAAATAACTAAACAACCTTCACTAGCTCTTGAAGGGAATACAGGTGGTGAGTTATTCACAACCTTCTTGTTGATTGGAATCTGGATCTTGATTCTCTTGATCTAAAATAGTTAATGAAGGGGTGAGCTACATTTACCCAGTAAGAATATCACACTAATCACAAATACAGAAAACTGAAAATTAATAAAAATCAAAAATACAATCAATTGAGCCCTTAATTTAATATAAATTCATTTACTATAAAAAAAGTCATTTATTCTATTTTGTGTAACAAGTCTTTTCTAACAATAACTTATGAAAACTCATATTCATGCATTATTATTTATCACATAGAAGATAATAAGAATGATCATTTTATATCTTTACCCACTTACCGGTACCCCTAGGGGTCCATAGGGATGTCCTCCTACTCGTGAACTCAATATTCAATTAAACAATTAACCGGCCGTCATCATACCCCGTCGGGTATGAGCGCCAAACATGCCACCACCTTGATACTCCTCAGATATGAGAGTGAACCATATCTCCCAAACCTTCATAATAAAGGACTTCCCAGCCCCGTCCGACTGAGGTAACGTTCATAGTAAGGTTCTCCATGTACTGAGCCCGTCCGCTTATCCTGGGTACCCAATAAGTCTTTTCTATACAGATTTTCATCAGTATAATAATCAACTATGCAATAATGATATATCATTTTGTACTTACCGTTCATTTAAACAATAATATTGTTTCACACTGCCAAATAACCAATTATCGGGATACTAGTACACAATGCAGGAGAAACAAATAACAAAATAATCAAAAAGACCCTAAAAATCATCAATTGAGTTACGCACAGTATAATAGTAAATAAATATAGACAACATGAAAAAATAAACAGGAAATCAAAATGACTGTGAACTAACCAGTTCCGACTCCATTAGTGACTTGTAACTATTTTTAGGGTTCTCTAATTTTTCATAAAAACACACAATTATTAATTATTAAACTTCAATTTACCGTAACAGAGAAAAGGGTGATGGATCCTTACCCGAATTGGTGTTCGAAATACCGAACTTTCTACTGTGCCTATCGGCGGTCCCTGAATTTCCTGAATTATCCCTATGGAATCTAAAACACTTGTCATATACCTAAAAATACTCTAGGAATCCAAATTCGGTGAAAAAAATCCTTTCCAGCCAATTTTGGGGTTCTCACACGGCGGCACCGCCGTGCTCCGACGATGGCACCACCACCCGTGGTGGTGGTTTTGTCTCGGTCTGGCCATTTTCGGTTAGTTTTGACCAGTTTTGGCCGGCTTTATACGTATCCTTGTAAAAAAATACTTTAGAAAACTTTGGTTGGCCAAAAAAATCAGAAAACGGAAACCTATCGACGGTATAATTTTTCAAGTGCGGCGATTCCACCAACTCACCTTCGCGGTTAGGAGTTTTTCTTTGGTCATCATGTAGAAAACAGAACGGTGAACACAACGGTGAAAAAATCACACGAAATGAAAAACGGGAAGGGGCTCATCGAAGGAGGTTGCGAGTTTTACCAGTGGTTTTCGGCTCACCCACCGTTCGTTTTACTCCGGTTTGGCCATAGGGGTGTTCAGAATCAAATTCCGAGCGGATAAGAGAATTTTTACCTTTTTTAGCGGTTGGAAGTGGCTCCAGTGCGACCGCGGTCAACGGTCGGTTCCCTTCTCCGGCGACTGGTTCTTCTTCTTCAGTTGGAAGCTGGTGGCTAGGGTTTGGGTTCAGTACGATGCGAAATATTTATATTCATCTCGCGTTAATCTGGATCGTTCATCGTGTTTGATCTCAACCATCTGATTGCGTTTAAATATGAAATGAATCTGAGCCGTTCATCGCGATTTGATCTCGACCGTCCGATCGCGTTTAAAGGAGGAACAATTTCAGACCGTCCATGCGCGTGATATCAATCCGGGACCGTTCAATCGCGAGGCACGCGGATTGCTCGCATGACATCAACGTCAGCGTGTCTTGCCACGCAGCGTACTCCGATTGGTCGGGGTCGCTAACTGAGCGGTCCTACGTGGCAAAATTTTTTTTATTTGCACTTTGACCTCCAGTTTCTGATTTTTCTTTCAAAAACACCCCTCGAACTTAAATTTTCACCATTTTTTTTTCAAAATTATTTTTAATTTCATCCATAAACTATTTTTTTATAAATTCAACTAAAAATTAAAATAAATTAATTTAAAAATAATTTTTTTTATATATTTAAAATGTTAAAATTAATTTCTGACCAAATTTCGAGTTAAAGTGTTACATATAAAAATATTTAAAAAATTAAATAAGTTCATATAATTTTTTTAAAAGTATACAAATATAGGATAATTATTTTAATTTTTTTTTGTTAAAATATAAAAAATTATACGTTTAAAATAAATAGAAAATAGTAATAATTAAATTATATAAAATGTATCTTAATAATTAATATAAAAATGTTAAATTTATTATTTATGTATTTATTTATTTTATACAATGGGGTTAAAGTATCTTTTTAGAGGGTTTACTTCTCCTCCAATTTATTTATACACATACTCCAATTTGCAAGCTATGTGGAAAAGATATTCTTCAAAAGAGAATATTCCAGTAAGCTTAGTTTATAAAATCAGTAAATATATTAATAGAAAATATAGTTCACACTTGCATTGAATTAAAAAATATATATATTTTATTATGAAAGAACAATTTTTTTAATTATTTTAAAATTTAAAATAAATTATATTTTAAAATTTCTAACCCATTATTTTACTTTTTTTATTAAAAAAAATAAATAAAAATTTAAATTTTAAAACAGATTAAACTTAAAGAATTAAATTGTAATAAATATCAATTAATATGCTAATTTGTTTAATATTTTATTTTATTCTCTTCAAAAGAAGCCTACAACATCATGGGTATTTGTTTCAAGAGCTAGAATAATATTCTCCTTCTGTTAATTTTGTGAAGACAAAGCAATACATAACCCAAGGCAAGTACCTCAAAAACAATGGCTTACACGCAAGAAGATTGTTTGAATGCAACGGAAGAACTCAAGAACATAGATTACAAAAGAAGTCCAAACAGCTTTTTTATTACTCAAAACTTACTTATTTTACACAACATATCGGATTCAAGCTCTGAGAACTTCACATAGATCTCCTGAGCTTAATCAAATTATCAACAGACAAAAAAACAACAGGCCCCGGTACATAGATCTTAGATATGGGACCATTAGGTAAAACACATTATTGAACATAGGACTATCAAAGCAATAGGTGGAGGGGAGGGGGGAAGGGGCAAGAAAATCCCAGCTTCTTCGGCATATGTAGGATGTGGAAGCTACCTTTCTATAATGTGGGAGGAATCCAGATGTAGCCGTGAGTTTGAACGTAGCCGGCTTTGGCAAGCAGCTCGTCTGCTTCTTTAGGGCCTCGGCTGCCTGGTTGGTACGGAATTGACTTCATTTCACCATTGTCAATTCTGTGAAGAAGAGGCGTGAAAATTTCCCATGCAGCCTGTTTATTGAAAGAATAGAATCATCAGAGACAAACACTCAAATTATTACTATGATATTCTTTTACGCCATGTTTGAAACAAGAACTTGTGGAATTTATTTGAACATCAACAGTAATTTTAATTTGGAGGATATAAAAGTTCTAGCTGAAGAGAAGAAATGAATCCCCTAGTTACTTTCAAATTAAAATGGAGGATATAAAAGTTCCATTTGAAGATAAGAAAATATCCCCCAGTTAATTTTAAATAAAATCAGTACAATGCATTTCATTTTTTGATACCCTAATTCTAATTGAAATTAACAATGAGGTCAATTTTATTACTTTATATAAAAACTTCACCACCTTTCTGGTCAAACTAAATTCGTATTTCTGAAAGAATTTAACAAAATTTATCAATTTATTTTAAATATAACCTTAGTGTATGAATTTCTTACCCTCAATTCATCCCTTCGAACAAAATGCTGCTGGTCACCTCTAATCCTGCAAGACAAAAATTTTCAGTTTAAGATGTATAGCTTGTCATTAGACTCTGTGCTTATCACTGATGCAACACTAATCTCATTCCAGCACCTTTAAGGTAAAATGATTATCAGAATGGATTCATAAAAGAAAGGAAAATTCAGAACAAAGGAGGGGTAGAATTGTACGTGTCGAGAATTAGACGTTCGTATGCCTCTGGTATTGCAACACCTTGATAGCGCTGCCTGTATGATAAGTCTAGTTCACTTTGCACAGTTGACATCTCTAGACCAGGCTGCTTAACCTGATGGGAGAATCAAACGCATAACGAGGACAGTCAGATATCTACATGAACAATTTTCGAATCTTTATATATATTTCAAAAAAAGCCAGGCCACATTGTGGATGGGACATTTTAGACATATTTACCAGAGCTAGAGAAAATCTTTCAATAAAAAGCAATTCAGGTTGTTATACAGTGCCAAAAGCAAAAAAGAAAATGATAATTCATTAATTTTGGAATAATATTCTTTCAAGGTCTGATTCACAACCATAACATAGAAGTTATTGCATTGGATCACTTTTCCAGCCAGAATAATAGATGTGTAATCCGTGAAAAACATCAAACAAAACCAATAAGCAGAAACCAGGTTAGGTGTCTGGGAACAATCACAATGACACTATCAAAAATCAGAGACTTACTGTTAACTTCATGTAAATGGCTTCGGAAGGTTGCAAGCGTATCACAAATTCATTTCTCCCTTGCTTTTGACCTAATCCATAATAGAGAATAAAATTTTGAGTGCTACTAGAACTTAGAATAAGACATACAGGAAGAAAATATATGGCATAAAATCAGATAGTTGATCACTTCACACTAACAAACAGGCAGCATTTTCACTTATTAACAAATTGCACATATTGTTAAGCGATGATTTACTTAGTAGATAAAGATCTATTTATCATTGACACTGCAGTTCCATGTACAGACATAAAAACAGCCAGCATTTTTTCTTATAACAAATTGCACCTATTTTTAAGGGATGAATGACTTGGTACACAAGGATCTATTCATCAGTGACATTGCAGTTCCATGCACAAAAACTTGGCTTAAAACTGACCCGGTGGAACTTTTTCTAGAGGAACAATTTGGTGGAATATATTCATTCATACATGGCTGTCTAGCTATACCCACAACCATGATATGGAATTATACCTGATTGCCTTTTTATTTATTTCACTGAAGTAAAAACCCAATGTTCATGTTATCTATCAGGAAAGCAATCATGATAGTTATATATTAAACTGAATCTGGTATAAGATGGATGACCATAGATGAATTATAACTAAGCTCGAGAATCATTGAACAGAAGTTAGTCAGAATGCAAAAAGCCCAATTGCATACATTTGTATATGTCGCCAGGCACTTCCTTAAACTGAATACGTATCTCTGCCTTCCTTGAATTCAATGCTTTTCCTGCCTTTAGTATAAATGGAACGCCTGAAAAATAATTAATGAACAAATAAATCAATAAACAGTAATTATTTTGACTCACATCATCGGAAGTGAAATGTCGATGTCCGAATCCATATGTTGCCCTCAAACTGTAAATAGGCATTGAAAGGGAAATGAAAATGCATGGTACCTTCCCATCTTTCATTATGTATGCGAAGAACCATAGTAGCAAATGTCGGGGTGTTAGAGTGGTCCGGAACTGTCGGATCATCCCTATATCCTTCGTATTGTCCAAGTACAACCTCATCATCGTTAATAGGAACTACTGATTGAAGAACCTGCATTTCACACAATAATCAGTCAGTGGAACGCCATTGACTGAGAGGAAACATGCTGAACAAGAAGTCTCATGAGAAAGAGGTCCATCTCTATAATTGAACATTCCAAAGTTCATAGACTGCCCTCCATTTAGCAATAAAGCATACATACTGGTTGACGATAGATATTACGGTGGTCTCAAAAAATAATGTAACAGGATAGAAAAACTTCCAGAGGCAAATGAAGGCACACCAACCTTCACTTTCTCATCACGGATGTGCTCTGGCTTAAGAGATACAGGCTTCTCCATGGCCACAAGACAAAGAACCTGCAAGAAACATAAGAGCTAGAGTAAGAAAGACTTTTCTCTTCTTTTCTTTTCCTCATTCTTTCTATGGTTATTTTCATTTTTATTGAGGTTTTTCATTTTTCTAGTACTTTTCATGGAAGGAAGGGCACTCAATAGAGGCTGTGTGGCAAAGTCCTAGCAATGGAAGCTACTGCATAAGGCCAGACAATGAGCACCAATACACAAAATTTTTCAGATCAGCGAATCAGATGCATGTTTTTAAGTATTAAGTTAATAAAATTCACCAAAATGATAGTTCTAGAAATGTGACACCACAGAGATTTTAACGCATGCACCTGTCTGTGTGTGTATAGACAAATCATTTATTCTAAGAAAATATACATGATCATAAAGCTTGCATTTCTTAACTACATGAATCGTCTTCAAATCAATAAGGACTCACCTGCAGTAGATGATTTTGAATGATATCACGGATAATACTGCACAAAAAAAATGAGAATATAAGTCATTCATGGAAACTTGATCCATACTTGAGACCATGTAGGTCCACTTAAAAAGGAAATTTAAATTTACCAAAGAATAATTGATTTTAAAAAGAAATTCAGAAGATTGGAAATTATAGAGATACCCATATTCATCAAAATATCCACCACGACCTTCAGTTCCAAAATCTTCCCTGAAAACAATCTGCCAAAGAAACAAAAGCAATATTGAAATAAATGCACAGTACTATTGTAATCATGTGTGTATCAGTCCAACCCCAAGTTCTTGTCCTAATCTGCAAAATCATAAGCTGAAAATTTTACCTGTACATTGTCAATATTGTCACGGTTCCACAGGGGCAAAAACATCCTATTTGCAAATCGAAGGACCAACTGCAAGAAACACAAAGGTAAATTTTGAGCACAGCTAGTAAAATTAATGAAATTTCGCATGTCACCTGTCTACTAATAGCTTACCAGGTTCTGCACCAATTCCTTTCCCAAGTAGTGATCAATACGGTAAATCTGTGGCTCATCAAACAACTCCCCCAATCTGGGAACTCAGTTTCTCTGAAGATTCTAAGTCCTTGCCAAATGGCTTCTCAACAACAATCCGAGTCCATCCTCCAAGATTAGCTGGAGAAGCTCATATGAAGACAACATATAAGGCTGTTATTAGATGTTCTAAAAAAAATGCTTATCCTCATGGCCATATAGCAGAGCCATTCAGTTTTAGCCTACTTGATCATTCCATG